GGATTTTAAGTTCTTGTATGAGTGAAGAGGCATAAAAAAGATTCAATTTTTATTGTTTTGAGCTTTATTTGTGCATGTTTATGGAGTTTAAGTTGTGTTAGTAAAGGGGTTAGAAAGATTCAATTTTTATATGTTTTTTTTTCAGCTTGATTTGTGCATGTTTTTGTGGGGTTCATGTTTTTCTTGGTTTTTAAGTTCTTGTATGATGAGTAAATACAATTTTTATTGTTTTGAGCTTTACCATGTTTATGGAGTTTAAGTTCTTGTGTTTTAAGTTTTACATGTTTTCAACTAGGGGCGGGTCCATGTAGGACCGAGGGGTTCATTCGAATCCTTTTTTAGCCATGGTTCATTCGGCTTCTTCACGTGTTTACTTCTTCATATTTTGAATCCCTTGATGACAATCCTATTTATAGCTTGATTTATGCATGTGTATGAGGTTTTCTTGGTTTTTAAGGTTCTTATGTGTTAAAAAGGATTAAAGATTCAATTTTTTTTGTGTTGTTATATAGAGGAGATGAAGGTAGTAGACTTGCAGCCCGCTTTGCTGATATTGGAGAACTTGAACAGTCTACAGGATTCACTCAACAAGATGCTGTTGATTTAAGTAGAAGTATACATTTTTTATCTTTTATGATCTCCCCACCAAACAATATCTCAATTGTTTTTGTTATCTTTGATTGTGACCTTAAAAAGATAAATGTTTTGTTGTTTTTTTTGGTTTCTTGATAGCTTCTGTATATGGTGAAATGAGGCCAAACAATATTGGTGTTGTTTCTTGTAACAACAATAACTTACACTTTGGTGAACTTAATACGGTAAGAGAAAAAATGATCAATCTTTGCAGTTTGTAGAATATGGTTGTGTTTTTGTGTTTTTGTATTTATGAGGTGAAGTGTTTGAAAATGGGAATTGCAGAGTATTGGTTCATCAGAGACAGGGGTGGAGACAGGAAAGTTTATGTTGCAAAAGGCACAAACAGGAATGGTGGGGGGTGGGGGTGTTGTAGGTGGTGGTGGTGGTGGTATGGCATTGGGAAATGTGCAGCATTTTGAGAATTGGGGTGATTCTGGTATTGCAGACCATAGCCAGCAGACTGACACTTCAACAGATGTTGATACTGATGAAAGGAACCATCAGGTTTTGGCTTTTCTCTACCCCCTACCCCAAATGGAAACTGCATTTTTTTGACATTTAGCAATAGTTCATCCTTGTCTTTTTCTCCTTAAGGGGAGGGATAGTGCGATATGGACAGCGGGAATCTTAGTTGCTCTATTGGTTGACTATTTGAACTTTCACTTTGTTGATGATGGTTTGATCCCCTTGCCCCTATTTTTTTTTTAACAATGTGGTATAGACGGTGGAGGTCCATGTAGTTGACCCCAATGAAATTTGCAATTTTTGGCATTAAGCAATAGTGTATCCTTGTTTTTTTCTTCTTTTTTCCCTTAAAGGGAGGGATAATGCGAAGTAGACAGTGAAGATTCATGTAGTCGACCCCAACGAAAGTTGCAATTTTTGACATTTAGCAGTAGTCCATCCTTGTCTTTTTTTCCCCTTAATAGGAGGGATAGTCGAACACAATGAAAGGTGCAATTTTTGGCATTAAGCAATAGTCCATCCTTGTCTTTTTTCCACTTATAAGGAGGGATAATGCGATTGTGACTCACCAGCCCAAGATATTCAGATAACAAAGTTCTTCCTCCGTCCTAATATATGCAGCAGTGTTTGGATTTCTAGAATCAATAATAGAAACTTGAAACTCCAGTATAATATTTTAATCTCAAGATATACTGGAGTTTCAAGTTTCTATTATTGATTTCACACTTTTTTGGGTAATGCAGATGTGTTAATTTCACTTATCTGCGGTTGAACTAACTCAGCTTGGTAGGGTAGCATTAGTATCTTATGTCGCTCCAAAATCTTGTGTTAATGAATTCAATATAATATTGACTATTTTGACAAGCCTCTGTAAACAATATCTTTGGAATTTAATGGATTGTTGGGTTGGTAAGTGACTTTAAGAAATATTCTGTAAATGAACCTGTTGTTTTTTGCCCTTGAATTTGTTTGATCGAATTAAGTGTATCGTATTTGCCCCTAGAGGGAATGATTTGATATATTTTATAGCTATACCACCAACCCTCTATTATGAACTGTTTGCATTTATTTGATTTTGTGTCGTAGGGCCAAGGGGTTCAGCATGGTACATTAATAGCTGTGGACTCCATGGACCTGTCCAAAGTAAAGCTTGGAGACCAGAAGGTGGTTGTACTGGTTTACTCTTATCTCTTTATTCCAATGGTTAATCTATTGCATCGGTTGTTACATATTATTACTGTATTTACTTAGCTTACTTGCAGACACTTCGCAGGCTGGCTCAGAATCGAGAAGCTGCTAGGAAAAGCCGATTAAGGAAAAAAGTAATATATTCACCTTTTGCAATATTTTAAATGAGATTGATTTGGCACATTCCCATTACTGATACTTTTCGTCCTTCTCATTATTATGTACAGTCTAAGTTCTGTAATTGTATTTTGAGTTTAGCTCACTTTAGTTAGCAACTGTGGTGTCATATAGCTTCCGTCAGAAAATGTATACATCTGTATATGTGTGCATTTGCATTTAGAATCATATAGATGCATACACTTGCAACAAACAAATAAGGTGTTTGCTCACAAATTACACAAGTCTTCATGACGTCCAGATATAGTTGAACACTATAGGTAGGAAAAACAGATGCAATTTGTGTAATAGTTCCACTGTTAGCAATTATGAATAGCAGGATATTCTTGCTTCGCATGATTTTATATCTTGCAGGGGAGTGGGGGGTGGGCCGGTGGGGTGTATTTTCTATTTATGCAAAATTAGCAAGATATTATCACACGTCAGGTGGTTGGCTGACAGCATTATATTGTTAAACATATGTTAAGCTTATAGCTTAATGTTTAGGCTGTCTGCGATGTTGATCATTGCTGATCAGTATATTATACGTCTACTTATATATGCTTGATGTTTAAATGATTATTAGGTTTTTGTTTTGCACAGGCATATGTTCAACAGCTGGAGAATAGTAGGCTCAAACTGTCACAGTTAGAGCAAGAGCTAAAACGAGCCCGCCAACAGGTATACCTCTTCCTCCACTACTTGCAAGTAGAGGGCTGTTTTATTGTGTCTGTGATCTTGAAAGAAACTAGTACAGTTTCAAATCGTATGAAACTTCTACGTAGTTAAATGAATTGCTTGGATGCAGGGCATATTTATTGCTAATGGATATGCAGGAGATCAGAGCATTTCTGCTGGTGGAAATGGTTAGAAAATTTCTGGCCTTGCTAGCATTCGTTACATGTCAAATTTTCACGAGAAGATTAATGTTTTACGTCTTGTTTTTCCTTCTTCCGATTGAAGAACTTATCATGAGTAATTTTGATCAATTTATGACCTGGCATGTGTTAGTCATGAATGGGGGGTAATTGTGATACTTCCACAGGGGCATTGGCATTCGACATGGATTATGCACGTTGGCTAGATGAACATCAACGACTAATCAGCGATCTCCGATCAGCTGTAAATTCTCACAGGGGCGATAATGAACTGCGCCATCTCGTTGATGGAGTAATGTCACATTATGACGAAAAATTCAAGTTAAAGAGTGTAGGTCTAAAAGCAGATGTTTTTCATATGCTGTCAGGCATGTGGAAGACTCCTGTAGAAAGGTGTTTCATGTGGTTAGGCGGATTTCGTTCTTCTGAGCTTCTCAAGGTAAACTAGGCTCTTCCGTTCAACTACCGTACTATGTTTAAAGTATCATTTCCTACAACAACATATCTAGTGTAGTCTTACACAGTGGGGTCAGAGGTAGAGAGGGTGTATTGTCAAGGAAAACAAATCAAAGCAATCCAGAAAAAGAAGTAATGGCAATTGCAATGGGCCATTAACTACATCAAAATAATATGATAATCGAAGTACCAAAATCAAAGGACTAGAAGCTATAGGAGTAACACTACGACTTAAGTGTCATTTCCTATTAGTGTTTTATTTTCGTATACTGATGTCCTGACATTGGAAATACAGATTCTTGGCAACCATCTTGAACCATTCACAGAGCAGCAACTCATAGGCATATGTAACTTGCAACAGTCTTCTCAGCAAGCCGAGGACGCCCTATCACAAGGTATGGAAGCCCTGCAACAATTACTCGTTGATACACTTTCATCTACGTCTCTCGGCCCTACTGGCTCAGGAAATGTAGCCGACTATATGGGGCAAATGGCAATTGCAATGGGCCAGCTTGCCACTCTTGAGAGCTTCCTTTATCAGGTAACTAACCGTCCTCTGTTCAAAGTTCTTTACAACACTAGTGCAACAAAATTCACATTTATGCTTTCTTTATTGCTAGGCTGATCTTCTGCGACAACGAACTTTGCAACAATTGCATCGAATCCTGACTACTCGTCAAGCTGCTCGAGCCCTCCTTGTCATAAGTGATTACATGTCAAGGCTTCGAGCACTCAGCTCGTTGTGGTTAGCACGTCCCAAAGACCAACTCTAGTACGACGTACTCATCCCTACAAGGTTCCTCCTTTTCGTAGTCATTTCCTACACCTTTGAAATTGTGAAGATAAGTCATTATATAGTAGTTCACAACTTTCAGAAGTCTTTCAATCGGAATCACACAATGACAACGTATAGTACTCGTGTACTATCTCGATCCACATTGCCTCGAGATATCTTGAGCACAATTAGTTATCTGTATACTATTATCTAGTCTTAGCTATTTTCTTGTACTAGGTATGTTAGTTACCTATTCGAAGATAGTCCTTGGTAAATCGTCGTTCGTTAGTTGTATGTACAAGTATCATCCTTCTGGCCGCTGGTTGCAATTGTTGTTTGTTAATGGAAAAAACTTCTCATATTTCTCTGCTCTTTTTTTTTCTCGTTTTTTCGGATAGTAAAGCTTCTAGTGATCACAACAACAATATATTCAGTGTAATTCTACCGTATATCTTTTGGAGATTTGCCTTTTAAATTCATAAATAAATTAAATAAATCTTTTACATAGCTAATACAGTACATCAAAACTTCAGTTTATTTTTTATGATTAGAACTAATTATAAGATGATTAACAGTTTCCTGTTGACACTGGCTTGTATATTTTTCCTCTTTCAGTATTTTTCCTTCCTGCAGACAGAAATAAGAAAAAAACAAGTATAAGCAATTGAAGTTATACAAGGAGAAAATTGTTTAAATGAGACTAATATCCTGTTTTATCGAGTTTCTGGGAAAGTCAAAAAGATTTATTTATTTTTTCTTGAAAAAAGTATTTGAGGTGTTCGATCAAACTTTCAAGAGAAAATTAAATATTTTGTAGTCGTAAAAGGTAATGCTCATCAACTTTCTAAATAAACATATTTTGAAAGTTTATTCATACATTCGTTTGGTAGAGTGTAATAGTAAAAATAATTCATATATAAGAGAAAAGGGAACATACTTGATTTATTTCTTCTTCTTGATTTAACAATATGTGGAATAAAAACTCCTGTTCCATTTAGCACTTCATCTCTATTTCCTTTATTCCATAAATCCAATAACCATTTTGGAACTTTATTATAATCCTCTTTATCTCCATACCAATAAAATTGAATTCCTTTAGGTTGTTGCAACACTAAAGATTTCATTTCTACTCTTTTTGAATTCTTGATTTGATCATTTGATTGTTGAACATAATCTTCTTCATCTTCTGTTGTTAATATTAAAATTTGTCTTCTTAACTCATCGTAAAAATCGTCACCTTCGAATTCGTCTCGAAAAGTCCCCATGTTTCTCTTGAATATTTCCATTGATGAATCCTTGAAAAAATAAGTTTTTGTTTTTTTTTTGTATATTTTTTGAGTTTTTGGCTTTGTATTTATAGTGTTTTATGTGAGGAGAAAGGGTTTATGTGTTTGTGGTCAAAGTTAATAGTGATAAGAATTTGGTCTTACAACACGTCTACAAGTGGAAATAAATCTAAAGAATATGTCCTATTTTTTGTATGTTAGTCAATGCTTGTATATTAACCTTATATTATTTTATATTAAAGGAAAAATGTTAAGATTTGTCTTTTTCTATTCTACGAAAAAGTTTTAATTTTATGGTTAGTTATAAGTTTGATTCATTTATGTCTTTGCTTTTAGTAAGTTGTGAAATTAGTTAGAATTTGAAGGTTATGAGTTCGATATTTTAGTTATTTCTGAGTTACTAGGTTTTAAATTAATATTTTATGCATATTATTTAAAAAAAATTAAAAGACAAAATTTCAACTATTTTGTCGTATTGTGAAGCTCCGCCCCTACTTGTCATTACAATTTTAGTTCGAAATCGCCCTTAATCACTAGGATGCTTGTTAAATTGATTTTTTTTAATCACTAGGACAAATTTGAACATTTTACCTATTATATATGAATTAATATACTATTATATAGATTAGCACAATAACATAGCTTCATAATAATTTTGGATTTTTTCTCTCTAGATAATATAGGTCCATTATTAACTAAGAGGATAGGGGAAACAAATTCAAAGAATATGTTCCATTTTGTATATTAGTCTATGCGTGTAAATTAAACACTAATTATTTTAATTAAAGATAACTTATTATAATGTTTACACTTTGAATTTTCTTCATCTATTTGCCTAATATAGTCGTATATTGTTTGAATTTAGGTCAATTAACATGTATAAGTGGGCCCTTTATTCTCAAGTAAATTATTGTATTAGTCCACAAAGTTAAGAAAATGATACTCTACTCAACCTAGAAGGATTTGTATTTTTTTGACTTTTCAAATATGGACTCTTCACCATTAATGTCTTCTACCTACTTGTGATACAACTAGTGTCCTTATTTGGCTGCCAAATGTATATGGAACCTACATTCCACTTTCATTTCATTTCCTTTTCTCTTCTATTTTTAACCCCTTTTTTCTACTTTTTCTTTTCCTCAACTGTTTCTTGAATTTTTTTCACTTGTTAACTCCAAACATAATTTATTTTTGTATGGTATTTATTTTTTGATTTTTGATTTTGCATTCAATATCTGCATTAAAATTCAACTATTTTAGATTTGTATTGTGTAGGGCTTTGTTCGAAGGGATTTACTCTCTATCAAGAATTTTTCGTATTCAAAGCTTAAACTCGAGACCTCTAGTTAAGCGAGAAACAACATCATCCCCTGCCCCATCATTTATTTAAGGAAAAATCAAATTGAATGTGTCGAAAAATTTAAATTTAATTTTTTGAATGAGTTTTAATGAATTGAAGAAAGTCGATGAGTTATAACTATATATATATA